GCGTTGCGTTGGCGTTGGCGTTGGTTTGACAGAACGCACGTTAAAAGTATGCTTGCTACAATGAACGCTTGGCGGCGAATCCTTGGGCCACTAAATTAACATATTAACGACAGATAAATTAATATTTCATATCAATAATTGCATTAAAAACGATATTTCTTGCCCGCACTTGATTAAAAAGGAAAAATATTTCACACAATTTTATTTATTCGCAACAGCTGACGAGCGACGCACGCGAAAAGTTGAGAGTTGGCCATCTTTTTGCTTTGTGTTGGCGTGAGCGTTGTCGAATTTTGGCTATGTGGACGGCTGCATTTGAATTCATGTATTCAGTCAGCTGTTGAAGCGACGCCAACGCCAACGCAACGCCAAAGTTCTATGTAAACGGGCCTTTAGAACTGTGCCGCACGCTCAGACTCACCTCTGAAAAAATTTGTAACTCAGTAACTCAGTTTATGTGCTGACAATGTATAGCTCAGTGTGCTACAGAGTCGATATGGTAACTCAGTTGATGTGCTGACACTTGCATAGCTCGGTGCGGCTTGCATTGCTGTGTCGATGTGGTAACTCAATTGATGAGCTCACACATTCACACAATACGATCTTCCAAAGAGTACCATAATAGATGGCATCACTAGACTAACCATCAATTGAATATACGACTACCAAATTTAAAAAGAAGCAAAGCGAATAGCCAAGTTATGCATACTTGCACTGCTATGCCATTTTTACGTAAAAATCAAAACCAAACAGAATTCTACATGTGAAGGTCTATGCGTTGGGTAACCGCTTACATGCATAGCCCATTTAACAGATTCGTATGTGCCAACTCTCAAGCAACACTAAGTAGGGAATTATTTTGCAAATGAACTCACCAGTTGAAATCAGCTTTGTAAAATTTTTCCGGCCAGCTACGAACAGAAGCTAAGGATAACCTTTTCTAAATCGATTTCGATTACTAACATCATCAATAATTTCGATGTACATACCAATTGTGCGATAGCACACTTGTGCCAGCTCACTGTGCTGACTCATTAAAGTGAGTTGGAGTTACTGAGCAAGCAGACGAAAATTTACAGAGTTACCCACCCTTAATTTGCCACACAATATGTACTAGATTCTGAATACCTCTAAATAAGCAATTGGAAGTCCACGGAATTTAGACAATTTTTATTGTACACGGGAATATTTATTTTGAAATACTGCATATCAGATTATTTATACTACAACTTTCGATGATTTTAACTAGAATTCTGCATAACGCAGAATTAAATATCGCAAATGAGATTTTGAAAGACTTTGTAAAATTATTTGGTGGTTATGTGGTGACTTTTTGATAAGCTTTAAGCTTTTAAGATAGTTTTTCAGCGTATAAATTTGAAAATTACATGCAGCATTTAAAAAAAATGATAAACAAACCCAGCCAAATATTACAGCAAATTTATTTTAGAAACCTTGAACGACAAAACGTAATTGCAGATTCCAACAAAACTTCAAAAATTGGGGAGTTTTATATAGATTTTAATAAGGATAAGGATAGTTTTTGTTGTAGCAATAAGTTCGGACCACTCAAAATCATTGGAAAAGATTTAGATTCTAACGCTCTTAAAGCCCTAATTTTAGTAAATTTAGGAAACTATTTTGAAGAACCATTGCAATCCTCATCTGGTCTAGGCTATTTATGGTTTCTGTTAGATAATGTAGTAAAACTCTAATTTGCTTTGCTCCAAGAAATTTTAGTACATTATCTACCAAAAACCAGAAAAAACCACAAATGCAGAATACAAGGGCATATACAAAAAATGCCGAACACAATAAGAGTTTCCAGTATCCGGTGCTTAAACATGTTGCAAATGCATTTGCAGCACAATATGTACTAGATTCAAAATACCTCCAAATACTTCTAAAAAACTTAGTGCTACTATTTAGAGTTTATTATTCTACATTATTACTTAAACTTTTTTTTGTAATATATTTTGTTTGATTATGTCTATTGTGGCTTAAACTAATATATTTTTTCAGGGCAGC